GTATTTTTCTTGTATGTTTTAACTTGAATTGAGCGCTTTACCCTTGTGCCCTTACTAGGAGTAATAATCTCGCCCTCACTCTCACCTCGTACATGAGTACATATATTCAGTCAGCTATGTGCACCTCAGTGTACATAGTCACTTTCATTTGACATGGGCATTAGTTGATACATAAGAGAATAGTCAATATAAACAATGACTATTGTTATTCAATGTCATTCGTCAAGACAAAAAAAAACAAAAAAGAAGAGCACGATCGTCGACTATGAACGTTATATATATATAATATATATACTCAGCCTTTTTTATCGTTCATCTTATTATTATTAAGTAGTTCTTAAGGTTGTTTACAAGAGTTAAATCATGTCTGAAAAAGAAGTAAATGATATATATATATGTTTATTTTTGAATAGTAATCTTATCAATTTTTATATTTATAGAATGCAAATTTTCAAGTATTATTACAAATGGAGGAGTTACGTCGACAACTGGATAAAGATCTTATTTCATTAGATAATTATCTCATTGAAATAAAAAAACTTCTTAATGGAGTAAATATGGTTTAAATGATATTAGATGATCATCGTTCTCTTCATTCATCAATTCTTTTTTTTTTGTTATTCAGTTTGTCATATCATATGCTTTTTTTTGTCTGTCGTGATGATAATATTTTCTTTTTTTTGTCTGTCATGATGATAAAATTTTCTTTTTTTTTCCTGTTCTTCATGATAGTCATATTTGTCTTTATCATATTTAATTCGTTTTCTATACTTTGGCCATTCAATACCATGATTAATTGAAAAGACATTTTTCTTTTTTTTTTTTCTGTTACTCAAAGTGCCATTGAACGATCATTTGATATTAACAATAAAAAACATATCCAAGATAACAAACTCCTAAATATCATTTTAAGAAAATAATGACAAATGAATGAGAATTGAATAAGTTTTATATGCTAATGAAATAACTATTAACTTTTATAAAAGCATTGAATATTTAATAATCTTCTATTTGTTAATAATCATGTACATCATGTATATGCTTGTCAATTGAATCAAGATTCAATGAAATAACTTCATCATAATCTTCAAACAGATTATGATGCTGCAGGTCAATTTTGGGTGGGAAAAAATTTTTCGCTAAAACATATATGGATAGATGCAGTTTTTCGTGCTGATTCCGAATTACATATTTATTTCGATTTATCATTAGCTCATACCGCTAAAAATGTTCATATTCTATTGAAAAATCGATGAGATTATTTATCTTTCAGATCATTTTTTCCCAATTAAAAAGCATAGAACTTGTGTTTCGGATAACTATGAATTAAAACTATTCGATTGTTGTCCGAAGATTAATCGACGATAAAATCCATTAGGCAGAAAAAAGTAAAAATAAATCTATTTTGACCTGTTTAATAAATAATTATCGAAGTAGGAGAAGAGATTAAATGATATAACTGTTTTGGTAAAGATAATAATTGAAAAACAAATTTTATTGAAAAAACTTCGAAAGTAAATAATTGAAATATTTCTAAATGAAAAAAAAAAGAAAACAAAGTTGTCTTTGACTAAATTTTTCTAAATAAATAAAGTTTAATAATAAGTTTCTCTTTCAACCCAACCACCTGGATCTTTTCGAATAATATATTTTCGAACTTCATCATAAACTAATATTAAGAAAAAATAAGGTATTGGAATAAGCCGCCAAAGAAATCTAAATAAAATGAAATTTTATTTAAAATAAATCAAAAAAATTTTTATTTCTAAATATACTTAAGTGGATATGTATGAAGAGCTGTATTTAAGTATGGTGTATAAGATATAATTGCAGCTAAAACAGTTTCAAAAACTAAACGAAAATTTAACATCCAATTACTATAAAAAGAATAATTATCATCGAATATTTTTTTTTCTAATAATAATTGTTAATTTAAAAATGTAACTAACTTCATTCCTTGTTGAAAAATCGAATTTCTTCGCGTTTTACAAACAATTAATACAGCCCATTGACAAATAACAATTGTAACAAAAAAAGCTGTATGACATGTATATTCAAGTTGTTTTCGTTGTTCATATGTCTAGACAAAAACAAAAAAATAAAAGCAGAATTTATAGAAAAAAAAAGATTGAAAAAAATTGTAACCCATTCTTGTCCATATGAATCTTCTAAATGATTTATTTCAATTGATTCCCATGATTTTCTAAGACCCAAAAGACGTGATGGTAAAAATCCATTTTCAGCCATAATAACAAGATATGAAGAAAATCCAGCACCTGCTTGAATTAATCCAATTTGTCCATAAGCCATCGATATAAGACTATTTTTTAAAATAAAGAAATTAAATTTCGTTTTCTGATTTAAATAAAAATTACCGTTGATTAACAAGTCGATCATGTTTTGGATCTCGTGGTCGTCTTTTCATTATATCAGTTTCACCTTTTTCATAAGCTAATGATATAGCTGGAATCATATCTGTACCCAAATCAATACATAATATTGTTATTGTTCCTAATGCTAATGGAGTATCAGTTGTTAAATAAATTAAAAATGGAGTTATTTCAGGTATATTTCATGTTAATGTATATGCAATGGATTTTTTTAAATTATCAAATATTAAACGACCTTCTTCAACACCTGTTACTATTGAAGCAAAATTATCATCTAATAATATCATATCAGCTGCTTGTTTGCTTACATCAGAACCAGCAATACCTTTAATAAACAATATTATTATTATGATAAATAAAAAAAAATGAAATAAAAATGAAACCCATAGCTATTTCAATATCTGCTTTTTTCAAAGCAGGTGAATCATTAACACCATCTCCAGTGACTGCAACAATTGCACCTTGTCTTTGACATCCTAATTAATATAAAAATAAATTTTTTTTCAAATAATATAAATCTAACCCTCAACAATAATAAGTTTTTGTTGTGGTGATGTTCTTGCAAAAACAATTTCTGAATGATTTTTTAAAAGATGATCTAATTGTGATGATGTCATATGTTTTAAATCATCTCCATGAACAACACAAGCATTAGCATCACGTCGATTAACATTTTCAATTGGAATATTTAATCTAAGAGATATATCTTCAACTGTTTCACACTCTTCGGATATTATTCCAACAGCTTGAGCTATTGTTTTAGCTGTTATCGGATGATCACCTGTTATCATTATTACTTTTATTCCAGCTGAACGACATTTAGCAACACTAAACAAAAACAATATTCGACTTTTTTTTATATTAAAAATAGGAAAAAAAAACAAACGCTTCTGGAACAGCTGCTCTTGGTGGATCAATCATTGACATAAGACCAAGAAAACGAAGATTTTTTTTCGACTTTCCAGATTATTGACGACTCTATACAAATATTCGAAAATCATATCAATTCAATGTTTTATTATTCTAAATAGATTGTTTATATCAATAGATCGAATATAGTATTTGTCTTCAACAGATAAACATCATATAAAATATGTTTTTTAAACAATCATTTCAATTTGTTTGATAACATAGATTGATTTGCTCTTTCACAAATATGTTTTAGAATAATATACAAAACTGGATCTTCTCGATATATAAGTGCATATTCAATACCAGTTACATTTAACTATAAAAAAAAAAAAACTATGAAGAATAAATTTTTCCATAAAATATGTTTATTTTCTCGTAGGATACCTTCAATAGGAAGATTTTTCATATAGATTTGTTTATTTAAACGCGATCGATTATAAAATGAATTTTCTATTTGACAAAGATAAGCTAATGCTCTTTCTTCACTTAATTACCTATTTAAATGTTTAAACTAAGATAAATCACTCCAATTAAGATTCACAAGACTTTACAGAGATATTATTTTTTCTCTTTTCTGTACTCAAAAAGTTGATAGACTCTACAATCGGTCACTATGTCCGACCGGCCGTTTACACGAGAACTTTTCAAAGGAGAGTCCAACTACGATGAAATTTTCTACACAATTTAGTTTCAACAATATCTCGGTCGAGAGAAGAAGATGAGAATGATTGGACGAGCCATTGATGAGTTATTGGAAAAATATTCATTTTTTTCTATGCTTCCCTATGATAACGATCGACCTATCTCCGCTTTCGTAACAAAACTTTTCCTTGAATAGTCAAATAAAACCTCAACTATTCGAAACCATTCGATAGAGAATTTCACGAGCTACAAAATTGGATATAAAACATAAGGAAACAAGAAAGCCAACTCAGCTATTGGAAAGATAATTAAACGGAATTCGGTTCTGTTTTTGTTCATGCTCTAATTGATCCACAAATAGAGCTCTATCGTTCCGATCACAGAGATGATAGTTCGAGCTTTTCTGGAATGGAGAACTCGAATCTGTGCTCCATTCGCCTCGAAATTCCATTGGTTGAACAGTAACCAATAGAAATGAAGTGTTTATAGACAAGGTTTGCCAGGATAATTTTTATATTCCGACATTCGTCGGATGACTCATCTATAATTAAACATAAATAATTAATTTATTAAGAAAATTCTCGAAGAAAATTTTGAATATTTTATATTATTGAATAAAAACAAAAAATGATCATTGTGAGACGTCAAGGATGATCTGATGTTGATGTTGAAGAGCAGTGAGAATCTCTATCGAATAGAAGATTCGAATGGAAAACATTAATTGAAAGATTTACCGATAAAACGAAAAGTAGGAAATCTAATCATCTAATTCAATAAATTTTGACGACGGTCTGCTATAAAATAAAATAAAAAATGAAATGAAAATTTTTCCTTTTTCGTACGTGTGTGTTTTTCTAGGTAAGATCTGTTGAGTCGACCAGATCCAATAAATGAACAGTTTTTAAATCCATTGATTATTGTAGCAAGACATATTATCTTGTTCGATGATTAGCACGAGGTTTGGTAAACATATTCAAAAAAAATCCGTTTTTTTCATCCAGTTCGATTTTTTAGTTGAACGTTTTTATTATACCGATGTGATAAATGTAGAAAACGTTATTATTAAAATATATTTTAGAAAATGTTTTACCAAAAACAAATTATAGAAATCGAATAAATATCAACCTGCTTTTTTTCTTTCTTATCATTTAATTTCATTAATTTCTTTCATCATCGGAATTCAAAGATTATTTAGAATTAACTAAAAAATCCGATGGATCATAAATAAATAAAGATGGTTACCAAAACAAAAAAAACGAAAGAATTTTTTTATTTATTCTATATAATATTGATTATTTATTTAGATCGTCGATAACCTTCATAAAGTAAATCCATGATAACTCGACGTCAAACTGGTTTAATTGATTGATTATGCAATGCTCTTTTATTTTATTTATCAACATCAGATTATTCATCGAATGGAAATAAACATCAAAGACCACAATCAGATGATTCATCATGAAAATTAACATTTTCTAGTTAGTTAATTTAATTAGACTTCTAGAAATAAATAATCGAAAACGATTTCTCGATTAATATTCTTTTCAATGTTTTCTATCTAATACCGTTAATAATTTATATAAGAATAAACTTAGAAAAGAAAACTAAAAAAAAAAGTAATACTTTTCAATGACAAATACTTCTTAATCATTTTAATATTTAATATAGTTCCAATTTTCCAATAGGATATCCTAACCATTCATTTCAATATACCAAATTGATGAGATAATCTTTATTATTGACAAACTTGAGAAAAAAAAAAAACGACTAAATTTTAATATTTCATCGAGATTTACTTTTCCGGAACAGTGATGGATTTAGAGCGCGGTCACTAGGGGCGATAGCGCTCCTTCCTTTCGAACCATTTTTCTCAACAGTGAACCGACACAACCTCTCATTTCACTTCAAAAATTTTTTTACTATCTTCCCCATTGTTCCACAAGCGCGATTTAGAACTTCGTGCGGACAAACATTTATTTTTAGAACCGCGAACACATAACGTGTCGTACAAAATCCAGAAGATAGAGACAATGGGTTATTTCGAGACTTGGACTCGACAGAGTCTAGTCTGAGAAATGTGTAGGATGTCTTAATTCCAGAAATAAATATCTTCTATCTTCGCACCGGCTATGCAATTCGGAAAGTTTTCGATCGAATGGGCTCCATCAGGAGAGCCTAACAGATCTTCGAAGAGGCGGCACATTCGCACTGGATAATCTATTGATAAATTTTTTTCTTTTTAAACTTATTCGTAAGATGACTGATTAGAAATAAATTTGTTTACCATCTAAGAGAATAAAATGTTTTGCTTCTGATCGAAGGTTCGAATTAATAGTCTTCGAATCGTTATTATCCTATGACAAAATATTTAATTAAATAATTCATTTTACATATTCATTTTTTGAACGTATCAGTCAACTTATATTCAATCATTTCAAATAATTACATGGTGAAAACTATTTTAGTCAGATATTCTTTCTAATAATATAATTATTTTTCTGATAATAATAGACTATTTCAAGAGAAGTACCTTATTTAAAAAAACATCGTCTTTTGAGATTTATATTTTTTTTTTGTTTAAATAGGTTAGTATCAATTAAAAATGATCTTGATTTTCTACGTCGTAGAATTCAATTGCCAGTAATAGAACCACTTGATGAAAATCGTCTCAATAAATTTATTCCTATGGCATTTAATTCACTTCTAATTGGATTTAAATATGTTCGTTTAGCAATAAATAATAATCAAATATTTGCATGATATACCATGTTTATGTATTAAACTCGGTGATATAATAGGATATTCACCTCGATTTGAACAATCGATGAAATATTTTTCTTAATTATCATATTTTATTGTCAATTGCATTAACTAAATGAATTAAAGAAATTCTTCACAATATTAATTATTATCAAAATGAAACGCAACAACAATGAAAAATATAAGAAATTATTCATAAAGGATCTCTCATTTAGATTTCTTCTATCACTTAAATAGAACTGATATTCATTCTTCAGACTCACTTTTCTATAATATATTACTTAATAAAGCCAATCAATACTAATATTAGATAGATGCATCAGAGTGAGTGTAGGTGTGCCGTTTCCTACCTCTCTTAACATATTCAACCAATGATACTCATACTCACAAATCACACACGACACCCTCAACCAAGGGGGAGAAATCTCATTCGGACATTCCAAGTCAAACGGATATATCCACTGTTTGTCTGCTACCGGCGGATCAAAGATCAATTACAACAGGAAAAACTACTCAGACATTCCAGTCCATGCGAATGACTCGGAATGAGATTTTTCCTTTTTGTCCTGAATTCCTAGTATCGAAAAGTCTGATTGGACGAAAATTAGATAACGGAATTATCTAATTCGATGAAGATAGTCGTTATTGAAAAATGATCTTTTATTAATTTAGAAAACGATCTAAAAGTCAAAGATTTGTTCTATAATATGAATTTATTTTAAGAATTTTTTATCAAAAAAGGAACAACTGATTATAATAGAACTTCAATATTTACTATTTTAATGACACCTAGAGACATATTACCAAAATCATTGGTTACCGGCCTGATTTCGTAAAATAAAAATGCGTGTATTTAAGAATAATGAACTTTTATATGTTACATGGATGTCAAATTACTCTTGAGATCTTCAAAAAAAAAAAAAAGCGTCAGTGATGTAACATAAAAAAACGAGCACGGACTTTCACTTCATGGATTTTAGTTTAAAAGACCTCCTCATTCGGCAATATCTCTATCTAAAGCTTTTTTTTTTGAGCACGCCTAGATTTTTCGAAATAAATCATTTATTTTAATTAATACTCAGCTAATAGACGGAACATTTTTAGATATGTCTATGCTAGAAGAACTTGTTTAGGATAATAACCCTTCTAAAGAGTCTAACTGACATGAAAGATGGGTATGTTACATTTTGATTGAAATCAATTATTAAGAAATAATAATCAATAAATAATTAAACTTAGCTAATAAATCTTCGTTTTAATTGGCTGAATTTTTATCATAATCTTTAAATTTGCCTAAGATCAACTTGTTCGTTAGTATTTATAAATTCAGTTTATCGAAATTCGTTCTTCTAGATTGTAAATCATCTCGAAAGAAATATTCTTCAATCAAACTGCATCCATAACTCAATATTTCCTATGAAAAAACAACGTTTTGTAATTTAAGATAAATAACTTAAGAATTATAACGAATCTATATATTATATCTGACCAGATATGAGATCTTTTTCGATACTTATATTCGTTTCATAATCTATCATTGCAGTAAAAAGTAAAATAATACTGTATAGTTCGTTATTTTTTATAATTTCTATTCGGATATAAGATGAAAATAAAAAGTTTAGCCTTATGCATAGAGATCTACGCCAGTATTCAGATTCAACTGGAATCCAGATTAATATTATTTCATAGCGATTTCATCAATTCTTTTTTTTATTAAGATTAGACAATATCATTCTATATTGATTATTCTATTACGAATAAGAATCTTCAAATTGACTATTTTTGTGTACTCAAAAAGTTCATAGACTCGAGAATCGGTCAGTGTGTCCGGCCGTTAACACGATAACTTTTGAAAGGAGAGTCCGATCGAGATGAAATTTTCTACACAGTTTAGTCTTAACAATATCTCGGTCGAGAGCAGAAGAAGATGAGAAGGATTTGCCGAACCATTGCTGAGTTATTGCAAAAATAGTCATTTTTCCCTATGAGAAGATCGACCCTTCTCTGCTTCCATAAAAAACTTTTCCTTGAATAGTCATATAAAAGCCCAACTATTCGAAACCATTCGATAGAGAATTTCACGAGCTACAAAATCGGATATAAAATATAAAGAAACAAGAAAGCTAACTCGCCTATTGCAAAGATAATTAATCGGAATTCGGTTCTGTTTTTGTCCACGCTATATGTGATCCACAATTCGAGGTCTATCTTCCCATCACAGAGATGATAGTTCGAGGTTTTCTAGAATGGAGAACTCGAATCTATGTTCCATTCGCCTCGAAATCCCATTGGTTGAGCAGTGACCAATAGAAATCAAGTTATAGGAAAAACGAGTTTCGTTAGGGTAAATCAAGGTGAAGAGTTCAAATCTGAGCTCTATTCATCTCTAAATCTTATTGGTTGAGCAGTAGCTAATAGAAATTGAGTGTTTGCAGAAAGGGTTCGCCAGGACAATTTTGATGTCCACACATTCATCGGGTGACTCATCTGTCTCATTCACTTTTCTTCAGTACACATAACTCTCGGATTTAAATCCGAGGTTTCCACATTTATTTTCTCAGTAAAAAGAACGATTTTTTTAGGAGAAAAAACATAGAAACTGTGTCAAAATGAAAGAGGAAGAAGTGCGCATTCCATACCAGCGATGAGTTCAGACCACAAAGGAAAGTTTTTAATATTGATATTTATTAGATAATTTTCTGATTAGATAAATGGATTGATAGCTCTTAGAAAAATGTTGATATCACAAGTTACTCGTAGGAGAAGTATTTATGTCATGAAATTTGATGAGCTATTACGTTCGAAAATCAATGGAGGACAGTCATATTACTTATTTTACATTTCTATTAAGGGAACGTGTGTTTGAAATACATATTCACCAAATCATATGCTTATAACTCTTCCAACTAATTTCAAGAATAGTAGTGTGATATTATCTTAAGTTTTATAGTGGATTTTCTTTCATAATAAAGACAGAGCGAAATAATATATTTTATATTGTCGAACGATTCACTGTGCAGAAAAAAACCATTGCAATCTTTTAACTAAAATTATGATAAGTGAATTGAGATCGAGTACGTATTAGTTCTATCATAAAAAAGTTATCCAATCTATTTTTAAGTACTTTAGAAAAATAAATTTTGCTAGGAATGTTTCAAGTTAGGCCAGATTGCAATCGAACGTCGATATTTTTTTCATTAATACTTAACCTTGATTATTTTCTCATAGCACAGCACTTAAAAATTGTGCAGATCATCACACTTTCTAGTACTTCATAAATTCCAATAAAAGTTTTCAAGCATTTCACTAAATATTAGAGGATTTTGTATTTCAAGAATACATTCGACTTTGCCTTCCAGTTGCTTCCACTATAAACTACTTTTGTATAGCACACAGCAACATTTTTCAACAGGTAGAACTATTACACTGCCTGTAACATTCACTTACCCCTCTGTGGTCACCGTTTAAGGGATTCTAACGAATTAAGGGATAACATGGACTACATTATAGAGGCTCGAGAAACAAAATAGGATTGGTCTATTTTTGTTACAAATAAAATTTTTTTATTGAATAATGATTGACAGAAAAAAATCTAAAGAATTTGAAACTGGAAGTCCGATTATGTTTGTTTTGTCGAAAAAAAATTCAGAAAAAAAATTCTGAACAACGTACAAAAATTTGCATCGGCTGTGGAATTTTTCTAATTATATATAAAAAAGAGAGGTTTTGTCCAGCACTTATACAAAAAGACCACATTGCCGATGAATTTTTTTTAGTGTTTCTAATAACAAGAACTAAATTCATAAATATGAACAATAGTTTGTATATAGATAGTGGTTGATGTATAATACAACTTTTGTAACGGGACCAAGTCGAGATTCCGTAAAATGAGAGCCGCGCATCGATTTTTCAATCACTTATTGAAACTCCATGTATTTTACATTAGGTGATCAAATTAGGAACTTCGAATAGCTTGCGTGATCGAATTAAGATCAGTTCCCTAATTTGATCATCAACTTCATCTTATTTTAATAAAAAAAAGCAATGAAGATTACACTTCACAATAAAAAGATATATAGAAATATAGATTTTGAGCTGAGGAATCTAATGGTGTAATTTTTTTTGCAATTAAAGACACTTTTCATGTCGAAACAACTTTGTTCCGAAGTTTCCTATCGAAATGGCTGGAATGATCGAATTAGGAAAAAAAAATACATGGAGCATGGAGTGATCGAATTAGGAATCGAGCAGAACGGAAAAAAAAATTGAGTAGGTCTCTTTCTAACGACTACTGTTCATTGAAAAATAATTTTTTTTGAAAAAACAATCGGTAAAAAGATAGAGAAATATTTTTTCTATCCCGGAAACTAAAAAGTACTTCGAACGGATGCTGGGTAAAGAAGTTATGAGTTTTTTTCTTAAAAAAAAAAATTCGTGATCAAATTAGGGTTAGGGACTCTATATTTGATTCATTATTTTTTTATTATGTTTTTTTCACTGTTGATTTCTTATGCTTTTTATCATCTGCCGTATACTTTTTTTTTTATTAAATCATGTAATTATAATGATTAGTATTGAAACAACTGATATATTTCGTATGCTGTAACCGTGAATTTGTACAGAAAAGTGTATAGAAATAATAAATGTAGATTATAAAATCAAAATACGAAGCACTGCTTAAGAAACTTAATCAAAAGCCGCTCATAAGAATATTTAAGGAATTTTCAATCTTAATGTAGGACTCACAAAAATTTGAGTTGAGTTTCTGTCATTTATCGATAATGGCAGCATCATTCATATTTCAAGATAAATTTAAAATGACTGATGTTATAATGGTATCGAGCTCCAGTTTGACTGTTTTCCTATGATCATTACTCAATAAAACAATTTTTATTTGTAACAAAAATAAACCAATCCTATTTCGTTTCTCGAGCCTCTATAATGTAGTCCATGTTATCCCTTAATTCGTTAGAATCCCTTAAACGGTGACCACACCCCTCGTCTTCACATACAGATGTCTTCAATAGCAATAAACTTGTTTTTTTAATCACAAAGAAAAATAATTAGAAATTATTTTTGAATTTTATTAAATCAAAAAATAAACTTTAAAATAATTTCCATTTTTATTTAAAGAGGTCGCTATATAAATTCAGAGAGGCTTGATATCATCAAAAAAATCGACAAACTATTGGTTTCTAATATTTGAACCATTCATAAAAAAGTATTTTGTTCGATGTAAAGTGTTAGATCCTCCATTATTGATTCGTAATTATGATAAAATTAAAATTTTAAAATTCTATATCATGACGGTAAAAGAAAATCCTATGTACTTTAATTAGTTTTAATTTTATTCTTTTAATTCATAGAATTCAATCTCAACAAAACGAAAACTAAATATAATTGGATCTGTTCCATTTAATGATGATATTTATTCAGTATCATTATATTGTTCAAAAAATTATATTTTACATTTAAATATAGGACCATTTTTATTTCTTTATATTCTTTGGTTTTTAATATGGATATTTCATTTTGGTCTTGGAGAATATCCTGAATTAGGAATGATTATTACTGTTATTATTGCAATTTTACAAATCATAACATGTCTTTTTTGTTATTGGTTTGTTGAAATACGTGCTTTTATGCAATGTGTACCTGTAAGATTTCTTGGTTTCTTTTTTCTTTATATTTGATTTTCTCGATAATAATTTGAAATTTTTTTTGTTTTAGGAAAAAAGTCCATGGAAAGCAGAGTTAGTTGTTATAAAGCCAACGGCAAATAATGGTTATCCAGAAATGGTACCATTACATCATGGAAAAGTAAAGAAAATCTATATTTAAACTCTTCACCCCCCCCCCCCCCCAAGAAAAAAAGTCAATTTTCTTGAAAAATATGAAAATTGAAATAAATGCATGAGAAGATAGTCTAAGTTTTTCTGATCTTTCATAAATTGCATATTTTTTTATTTGACACTACATTTTTCTTTTCAAAACTTTTCATCATTTTCTGCTTGAAAAGTTTTGGTTTTTTGTTTTGAATTAAGCTTTGTTACTATTATATGAAGAAATACTTTTATAATTAAAAAGGGCCCTGCAGTCTGAGATGCTCTTTCAAACAAAAGAAGAAATTAAGTGTATAGAATGAAGACCCTGACGAGAATTTCCGGTAGTCAAGTGAGCTATTTATGACAATATTTGGAAGAATGCTTAAGAGAAATTCCCTTCCGGAGTTTCCCGAAGACTGCTTGACGAAAAATTATGAAACTTTCAAGGCAGATAGATTTCAATCAGTAGAGCAAAACTTGTCATAGACGCAAAATTCTCAGATGCTTCCTTGAGAAAGATATAGGAATCACAATAGCCAGAAGGTCTCTTCCCCTCGCAAAACTTTTTACTTCATTTTTTTGTGGCAGCTAGGATCGAATTGAGGTGCGTATGGTTTTTTTTCTTTCAAAAAATGTCGTTCCTAGAGCTCGTAGAAGCAAAATGTTGGAAGCACTGTCAAAGACCGCGATTTTTTTTATTCAAAAATTGGTTTGGTCCATGACTTATGCTCTAGGCACATTAAGATAACTTTTACTATATGAATATATTTAGAATCCTCATGACCAACATGAACATGCATGGTTTACATTTCAAAAATGTCGTTATATATATGATGAAAGTGAAAAGAAAACTTTTCAAACAATTGATTATCCATTATCAAATTCATTTTCATCATATCTTCAATCAAAAGGTTATCAAACACAAGATGATATTGATCAAGGAATATGGAATTTTGGTCTTAATACGTAAGAAAATTCAAAAAAAGAATTCATTTCATATTATAATCTCATTGTTTGTTGTCTTTTTTGGTTTATAGAATGTTTATTGATATTCCAAGTTTTATTGATTTATTTATTGAACGAGCTACAGCTCCATTTTTTGTCTTTCAAGTTTTTTGTGTTTTACTTTGGTGTTTAGATGAATATTGGTAAGATCTTTTTTTTTTGCTTTTTGAGAAAAAAAAAAATCTTCTGTCATAATGATGATTCTACATGCACCACTCTGATCATGATTCGATATGAGGAGAGTTATTTCCTAATATTATCTGAAGACAGAAGATATTTATATATATTTTTTTTGTATAAAACACAGTTCTATGATGAATCTAACGACGGTCTTCAGAAAAAGAATGATCGAAAAACAACGATTCTAAACCCATTTTAACTGAGAACTGTAAGACGATTTCTATTTGATTCTATAAAACAGTAATAGACGTTATAAATAACAATAAGGATATTTAAAAAGGATGATAATTATGTTCTTTTCAATTGTGATTTTAGTTTAATAATAAAAAAAAATTGTTTTGATACTCTGTAAAAAAGATTTTCAAAATTATATTGTTTATCATATTCATCCTATGAACGCTTCATTTGTTGTTTTCTAAGAGTTGATTTTGTTTTTTTATTATATTACATGAAAAAATTCATTTTAAAATAATCCTTGGTAATCGATGTTAATCTCGCATATTTTTAGTCCAATCGAGGACAACAGGATCAATTAATGGAGAAATGTTTTACTTCGCATTAAAAAAAAGTTGAATAAATATATCAAGGATAAATAGAACGAAAGAATATCAACATATATTTACTATTCGTTGTTCTTATTCGTACATTTCGATTCAAGTAGATGTCGTTTTTCTTTTGTCTGAAAAGTAAAGTGATATCTACTTAAGTCTTTTGGAATTCTGTTTTATAAATATTTCATTTTTATTTCTGTTATCAATGAATAAAAATAATGACTGTTGTCTTTTTTTCAACAAAACATTTTTCTCTCATAATCAATGACAAACTAAAGAGATAGATGCAATTTTTATTCAAAATATTGCTGCCGAAGGGAACACCTGTTAGCGCAATGACTGTAGGATTAAAATGTGAAATACGATTGATCTACATATATTGTTAATCAAAAGATTTTACAACATACACTTTTCACGTATGGAGAGGTTTGTGATGAAAGATGTTACATGTTACTGTGAGTTTCGTTAGAGGATAAAGACAAGTATCTTATATTCAATCTTCTTTCATAATAATCTCGTGGAATACTTTAGCTCTGTGGATAAGTCTGCCATAGACTGTGCTGAACAGGGTGTCTGTAAGAACGAAATCAGTTCGAATTTCTACCCCTGTACATCAGCGGCTGGCATGGTTGAGTGACTACATTGTTCAGCATGTATGCAATAGGTACTGTTTTCAAGTCTACATATCACTTGCCCGATAGTATGCTGACTAAGTTGTGGCATACACCTACCCTCGTATCTACTCATTGTGTACGAGGAGTACAAGAGCTCGGCGTCAGGCCAGTCCTCTGTTCTGAGCTACAACTAGTATTAGTTGTAGGAACAATATCGAGTCCCTGTAAGCAGTACCCTATACTGAAAGACTGAGCATTCTACTTCTATACTTCAATATTCCTTTCAAATCATGTTTCACAAAACTCTGATTTTTAAGTATGATAGGCACATACAGTAGAATTTGTCATATATCTTTAAATGTATGTCAAATATGGATAAATGTGCAAAACTAAAATTTGAACTGAATATTTTGTAATCTAAAAGAATATTTTTACATTATTTTTATATATATATATATATTCAGTACGACAACTGTTTTTGGTTTTTTGGTTTTTTATAGGTATTACAGTTTATTAACATTATTTATGTTAATCGTATTTGAAATAACTTTAGTTCAACAACAAAAACGTAATATGGCAATGATTCGTCAAATGGGTAATCAACCATATAAAATAAATGTTTATCGTCAACGAAAATGGATTAAAATTGATACAACAGATATATTACCAGGTGATCTTTGTTCCGTTTTACGAAATAATGATAATAATCCATTACCTTGTGATATGTTATTATTACGTGGTCAATGTATTGTTGATGAATCCATGTTAACTGGAGAATCAATACCACAAATGAAAGTAAGAAAAACAAAATAAATCTCCTAGGATTATTATTTTCTTTTTTCATTGACGTACTGATTATTATTTTGCAATGATTGATACAAGATCTTTCTAATGAGGAGATTTTCAGTTTTTCTTGACTTTCTTTTTTAGGAACCAATTGAAAATATTGATGAAAATACAATATTTGATTTAGAACGTCATGGAAAATTATATGTACTTTCAGCTGGTACGAAAATTGTTCAACATACACCACCAGCTAAAATGCAAGGTGGAATGAAAGGTATCGTTTTTTTTTTGTTTTCGATATAAACAAGCTTTGTCTCAATAAAATTCTTTTTCTCGTTTTACATATGCTAAAAAATTGTAATATCTTCATTACAGAAAAAAAAAATCATTTGTTTGTTCTATTAAATAAATTCTATATACATATCTTTTTATCTAGCAAGTGACAATGGTTGTATAGCATATGCACTTCGAACTGGTTTTAGTACATCACAAGGAAAATTATTAAAAACAATTTTATATAGTGTTAAACGAGTTACAGCTAATAATCTTGAAACATTTCTATTTATATTATTTTTACTTGTTTTTGCTGTTATTGCTGCATCATATGTATGGATTGAAGGTAACAAAAATAGAACTTTTTGAAAACTGACGAAATATAAATTATTTATTTATATTTTCTTTATAGGTACAAAAGATCCAAAACGTAATCGTTATAAATTATTTATTGAATGTACATTAATTTTAACATCAGTTGTACCACCAGAATTACCTATTGAATTATCACTTGCTGTTAATACATCATTAATAGCTTTAGTTAAACTTCGTAAGAATATTTTTTTTTTGTTTTTTAATTTAAATAATTCTTATGAAATTCTTCTATTTAATTTTTCTTTTAGTTATTTATTGTACGGAACCATTTCGTATTCCATTTGCTGGAAAAGTTGATATATGTTGTTTTGATAAAACAGGAACATTAACAAGTGATGATCTTGTTGTTGAAGGTGTTGCTGGAATACAAAAGTATGTTGTTTGTGTTTTTTTTTCGATTAAATAAATTCATAGGCAAACTTCTAAATTTTTTTCAAATATTCTCATAGTCGAAATTTGATTTTGCTAGTATAAATTATAAATTATTACCGAGTGAACTCAACTCTCAATGAAACTATGTCTAGATATAATTTATACATTTAGTTCGGATGATCCAATACTATTATCAAAAATCGATGTTCAATCACCTGTAAAACAAGTTCTATTAACATGTCATGCATTAGCTAATCTTGATGGTGATATTATTGGTGATCCATTAGAAAAAGCAACATTAAATGCATTGGAATGGACAGTTACACGTGGTGATACAGTTGTACCTGTTAAAGGTCGATCTGGACGATGGCAAATAGTTCAACGTTATCATTTTTTGAGTGCATTAAAACGAATGTCAGTTATTGCTGGACAAAGTCCATCACCTTCAAGTAATGAAACAACATTTATTGTTGCCGTTAAAGGAGCACCGGAAACACTTAAATCAATGGTATGTTCTTTTTGTGAAAAAAACAGATTTTTTTTTTTTTATTCTTAAATTTGTACAGTTTTATTTAAAAGAAAAAAAAGTGGATATACGAAGGATGATTTATTTGAATGATTCAAATACTGATTAAGAATATTTTATATAAAACTCAAACACTGAACTGACGTTGTCCATTTTATACATATTTAAAAAAAAAACAAGTTGATTTCATTCGACTTTCACCAATTGTATATTGATATTATCAGCTAGTGGAATATCCGTATTATTAGTATATAATAATTTGTCATTTCGTTCTATATGTGCGGATAGAGTTATTCCACCGGGAATAGTTTTAAGTTCTGAAAATTTCATATGTGCTTTATATGGATTATATAAACATTGATAATCAATAGGTAATGTTTGCTCTTGATATAAATATATTGTTTTTGAACCTAATTCAATACATGGAACATCATGTCGAAGTGAATCTCGAATTGATATATAAAGAATTTCATCACCATGAAATTTTGGTTGTTCACCTTTGATTGTAATTTGACCATGAATTTGATATCTAGTCAATGTAGCCATAAAATTATGAATGTAAAAAAAAGAAAAGAAAATGCGCGTAAGTTGGTAGATGTATTTTTCTTTTTCTTTAAATCGGGACTATGTAAAATTTATCAATTATAAATGAAGAAAAAAGAAAATTGACTAAGTTGAAAGAATAACTAATGTTTTTCTTTTTTTTTTCTCCTTATTTTTCATAAAAAAAGAAAAGTAGATGCATAATGATGAAATAACATACATCACTCTCATATTTGAAATGTTATTTCGACTATGACGATTTATATGTAAACATGTTTAAGTGTATCAAAATATAACAAAGAGAACGAGAAAAATAAGAAGAAAGAAAAAATGTTTTTTTGTTTTTCTATTTAATTTTAGTTTAGTACAATACCAGAACGTTATGATGAAATTTATTTACGATTATCAAGACAAGGTGCACGTGTTCTTGCATTAGGACATCGATCACTTGGAATTCTTTCTAATCAACAAGTAGAATAAAATCTTGTTTGTGTTTGTTTACGAAGAAAGTTTTCTTTTTTTTTTAGTTACGTGAACAATATCCAACACGTAGTTCTGTTGAATGTAATTTGGATTTTTGTGGATTTGTTGTACTTTCATGTCCATTAAAACCAGATTCAAAAGTAATGATTCGAGAACTTCGTCATTCATCTCATCATGTAAGTAATAATTTTTATTATAAAGACATGTTATTGAAAGTGTATTGAATAAGATGAATCAGAATAATGACAGTAGATTCTAGTACTTTTATCAAAATATCAACTAGTTTTTTTTTCCTATGTTCTCCTTCACTCTATTTTATTTCTCTCTAATTAAAGTGTTTTACTCTTTTAAGAAAACACGATGGAAACTGATTTCTTGTTTTGTTAGAAACTAAACTAAAATGTACTCTTTTGTTTCAATACTGTCGATAACATCACACTGAAACTACTATTGCCACCAAAATGTAATGAACGGTGATATTTTTGAATATCTTCGGAACAATAAAAGATAGCGACCTACTTTTGTTCAGCATTTGAAAGAGAAACATAGGGACAAGTTTGGTAATCTTAGATTGATTAGGCGCTTTTGGATGACAAAGACGTCTATGAAAATCGGGACTTTCATGTTAAAAAAATTTCCATTGGATTTTAAACGATGAGATAACCATATAAAAGATAAAATTTTTCGACTTTAACCTATTGACCTGGAATTAGCTCGAAAAGATTAAGACTTGGGTACTTCACCATACTCATTTCGGTGATAATCTCTCTTTTCAGTTTCAAAATGATTTAAAACTACTAATATCCAAATCCCGAAATTTCAAGTTTTCCCATCTAGTTTTTGACCTTTCCGGGATGATTCAAGGTTGATAGGTTGAAGTCGGGAGTCTCTGGGAAACTCTAATAACTCATGAATGAAACAAAACTTAATCTATCGAATGGTTATATCATTGATCAAAATCAAATAGAATTTTTTTTAACATTGCAAACTCTATGTTTCCAGAATCCTCTTTATCATTCTGAAACTAAACGATTTTAAAACTGCTATACTTATCTCACATTTCTCTTCTGAACGCTAAAAACCACAGGTCACTAGCTTTTGTCGCTTCTGAAATATGAAAAAAAAACACGCCGGTATATTATATATTGTGATGGCGATAGAATTATTTCTAATCCGTTAAAAACGATTTTTTTTGCCGACTGAAAACGTTTTCCAGATCGGACCGATCACAACTCTGAGATGAATATGAGAATTGAATTTCAATTCTTTATGTTTTTTTTATTTGTTTTAGTTAACAATGATTACAGGTGACAATCCATTGACTGCTTGTCATGTAGCTAAAGAATTACATTTTACACGAAAACCTCTTCTTGTTCTTACTGCTCCGGCTACTAGTATGTTAAATATAAAAAAACAACACATTCTTTTTTCAATGATGAAATGTATTATTGGTCTAATTTAGGGTCAGACGAATGGCAATGGGAATCCGTTAATAAAGATACTAATTTGCCAATACAACCTGCTAATATACGTGATTTAACTCGACACTATGATCTATGCGTTACTGGAGAGGTAAAGAATGATTATGTCTTCATGTCAAAATTTAAATATTTGTTTTATTAACATCTTAATTAATTTTACATCTTTTGTTTTGAAAAACTATATTCTATTTATTCTAATAATTATTTTCGTGGTTTTGTTTTAGGGTTTTGCATATCTTAGTACATTACCCATTTCTTTTCTTAATACAATAATGCCTCATGTAAAAGTATTTGCTCGTGTATCACCAAAACAAAAAGTAATATTATATTCATATATATTTATAAATAAAATTTTCTTAATCTATTTCTAAATATAGGAACAAGTGGTTATTAAATTAAATAATCTTGGTTTTGTTACACTAATGTGTGGTGATGGTACAAATGATGTTGCTGCACTTAAACATGCACATGTTGGTAAGTAGAATATTTCTTTTTTTGATTTTTCTTTATTTTTGTTTTGTTTTGTTTTAAAGGTGTGGCTTTATTAACTGGTGTAGCAGCTAAACGAGCTGAACAACAACAAGAAAATATTACAACTTCGACGAGTACTGTTCAACCACCAGCAGTAGCAATAGTGACACCTCAACAACAAGTTCTGACACCAGCTGAAATAGCGAATCGAAATCGTGAACAGGCAAAAGTATTATAAATTCATTGTTTACATAATAAAAATCGAAAAGAATTTTTTTTGTTTTATTTTCTTAGAAACGTTTAGAAGAACTTTATAAACAAATGGATGAAAGTGAACAAACAATAGTTCGTCTTGGTGATGCATCAATAGCAGCACCATTTACATCACGTACATCAACAATTCAATGTGGTATGTCATCGTATTTTTCTTTTTTTAAATTTTAAAATCAATTTTCTTTCTTTTTTGAAATAATCTAGTTTGTCATATAATAAAACAAGGTCGATGTACCCTTGTAACAACATTACAAATGTTTAAAATTCTTGCTTTAAATGCACTTATCTTAGCTTATAGTTTAAGTGTACTTTATCTTGATGGTATTAAATTTAGTGATGGACAACACACATTACAAGGTCTTTTATTAGCTGGCTGCTTTTTATTTATATCAAGATCAAAGGTAAATACTTCGAATGATGAAAATTTTTTTTTTCTTGTCTTGAAATATTTTATGATATAATGACAAAGATTAGAGTCTCTGACGAAGTTTATTTATTATTTTTCTTCTTTTTTGTTTTAGCCATTGAAAACATTAGCACGAGAACGTCCATTACCGAATATTTTTAATCTTTATACATTAATTTCTGTTCTTGGACAATTTGCAGTACATCTTACAGCTTTGATTTATGTTGTCAATGAAGCACATAAAAGAATACCACCAAGGTAAAATTGAATAAATAAAACTTGACAGCGTAATTCCTCTAGGGCTAAAATGTGTTCTTTAGTCTCATTATATGTTAAATTATTTTCCAAAGTTATAATTTGATCAGTTCACGCTTTTTATACTGATCATATAACAAATCAATGCATCACTATCCATCATTCTTGACATCTTGAATATATATTTTTATCTGCACAAAAAAAAAAAAAAAATTGCATCATTGAGAATATTCACAAACATATTCTGACCATTGAAATTTCGATGGAGGCTAAAAGGAATCTGACGTCTAGAGCCCGTCGGATTGATCTCGGACTTGAACCCGACGGGCTCCAGCCATCTGAGAAATATGTAGGATGCACTAGTCATCAGACACAAAAATCCGAGAAAAATTCTCGTATCTTCGTTACAACTATTCAATACCGATTTGAAAATTTCATTGAGAGTATCAAAATACGGTTTGGCTAGATCTGGGTCCAAAAAAATTTCAATCAACTAGGCTCGAATCCCAAAAACTTTCAATAAATCAGTTCCGAGACGGAAAATTTTGGATCTGACGGGCGTTATTGATGCCTGTTGTCCTCGATTGCTACGGAAACATATCCAATGATCGTGAGCCTTTCTCTTCCTCCTTCGCATTACTCTGAAAGGTGATGCCGCAAAACCTCAACTTAAAACTTATACTCACTATGTTTTCTTCGAAAAACATAATATGGATTCCAAAAACTAAATTTAATTTTTTTTTAAGACCTGAAGAATTTGCTGATTTGGAAGCTGAATTTTCACCTAATCTAGTCAATTCAACTGTTTATATTATGTCAATAACATTACAAATAGCTACATTTGCTGTTAATTATCAAGTAAACAAAAAAACAAATTATCGAACATGGAAATTTAAATTAATTTTTTTTTTTTACTTTTTAGGGTTATCCATTTATGGAAAGCCTCCGTTCGAACAAACCACTTCTTTATAGTATCATATTTTCATTTACATTAGTTTTAAGTCTTATATTTAATTTACTTCCACAACTAACAGAGCAATTTCAAATTGTACTTATTCCTGATGATGTAAGAAATAAAAATTCTTGTTTTTTTTTTGTATTAGAATAGAATTTTATTTTTATTTTATTTAGATGCGGCTTATTGTTTTTTATGTTGTAATTGGTGACGTTATTTTAGCGTATATCATTGATCGAGTTTTGGCATTCTTTATTGGACAAGCGAAATTAAAAGAATATTAATGTTGTTTGTTTTTCTTTATTGTATCATTTTATGAAAAAAAAAATCAAGATTTGTCTTTTTCTGATTTTAAAATATAATATGTGCAAGATTTAGAAAATTGTTTTTGTTTTATAGCATAAATTATTGATGAATATATAGATGTTGCTTATAATAATTAATTCAATTCGTGAAGAATTATGAATTTAGAAGAAATCAGAGAAAGAAAAAATGATTTAAATTTGAGTTCGAGATTATAACCATCGATAGAATTGCATTCGTATTTTTGTTTTATCAAAATTATTCAATTTATAGTAGTTGCAAAAAGTCCTGCTACCAGGTAAAAGTACCTAAAATTTGAATCGTTCCATCGCTAAGCTCTGTTTACAAGGATCAATCAAGGCTTAATTGGCTTTCGTGCGAAGAAGTCAAAAAAGTAAACATAGAGATTTTGTTCTGACCAGAATATTTCAACATAGGAAATTGATTTCATAGCGTTTGATCCCTCTTATTCGAGATCACTAATGAAGGAACGTCTTCTAGTATCAAATCGCTCTTGAAGGTAGCACTATGGACATCATGTAGATCCTAATGAGCTATGACTTAAGTACACCGGGAGATTTCAATATTCCTATTTCAGAAAACGAGGAAATCAAAAATTCTGAAATTTTCACAATAAACTATTGTTGTTAGAGCCTGTTTCTATGCAAATTTTTAAGCAAAACTTCGAAACTCAATTTTCCCGGTATTTCTGAGAAGGACTACGATATTGACTAAAAAAACAATAAAAACTGCACATAGTCTTGAATCAAGAGCGATTGAATGTTTGGAGATGTTCCCTTGTTAGCGTTGCCTCCATCATGGATATGAATCTTATGTCAAACAGTTTTAATTTGCCTAATTTATGAAATAATCTTTGATTAATTGTCGATATGAGAATTGATGACATTAGCCGAAAAATAACTTATAAATTCGGTTAATTTCAATCGGCTGTCTTGAAATCGCCTCTGAAAATTCTACAGTGGCAGCCATCGACAGAGAGGATATTCGTGCTGGAGTCGTCTCAGACAATTGAGTTTTTCCCGTGACTGAGGATTACAGTGGTTTGAAGTCTCCTATCTGTAAAACAATATAGATATGTCAGATTTTATTCGTTAATGAGAAAATAGACCTTTGCGCATCAAAATATTGGAGAACTAGAACAATGTCAAAAACAAGCCTTTTTTGAGTCCAAGGGAAAAACTAATGTTTTTATTTTCAATCCGTGGCATGACGGTCGATCGACCTCGAATAGATTCTTACGATCAAGATTTACTGAGTTCTATTTTTAATTAAAAGATTATGCAAAAGTATTGAAGTTGATGTACTTTTTACCTGGTAGTGGGACTTCTTGTGACTATTGTAAAAAGAAGTTTTAAAATACATTTTGCAGGAAAACGATAAGATCTGTAGTTTTTATCATTGTAATTCTTTTTTGAAGTTGTTCAAAATATATTTCAGAACTAGAAACGAAAACAAAAAAGAAAACATTCAATGAGTTTCGGTTTCTAATACATTTTCTATGTATTCTCATTCTCTTTAAATAAAAAATAAAATGATATGGAAAATCTCATAGTAAAACATGAAACTTAAAATTAAATGAAATCTATCATTTTCCTCCGAATTAAAATATGATTCTTGATTTATTTATAGATTTTTTTTTTAAATAAAGTTTTTTAGCATATGATTTTAAAAAAATGTCATTGACAGAAAGAAAAAGAAATTCAGTACTTAATCCATCTTTACTTCAATCAATTACTCAAACTATTTCTCAATCAATAACAACAACATCTTCACCATCAGATCAATTAGCAAAACTTACTGTAAATACACCAACAACAAGTTCATCTATAGAAATTATTTCTGATATACCACAACTTGCAGCAAGACAGTTCGTAGATTTTCTCTGTAGTATTTTTTCAAAGGAATATTTTGTTTATTTGTTTGTTTTTTTGAATAGAGAAAAACAATTAATATCCAAAGAACAAACACCATTGTTAACATTAAAAAATGAATTTCAATTTCCAACACAAACACCTAGACGTTCAAGTAATTTTTTAAAAGGGTGTAAATGGTAGTTTTTTATTTTCTTTAAATAATAAAAAGAAATCAATATTTGCACATATTTCAGGTCACCCGATGGTCTTTGTCTATTAACAAATAGTGATGATAATCAATTACGTGTATTTGAAATTCCATGTGATAGATTACCCTCGAATGAAGATCTTGTAAGAATCTTATATCTTATCATATTGTATAAAAAAATTTAACGGCTATTTCAAAAAAAAAAAAATTGATATCTTCAGACATATTCCGAAGTGGTCAAAAATGGGAAGAAGAGGACAAAGTCTTTTTTAGAAAAAGATCGACAATCTTTGTGTAGGAGATAATCCTTGAAAATTGATAGAATGTAAGAAAATTTTTGTCAATCATCGAGCAAAAAACAACAAAACTTTCACAAAATTGTGTGGAGACTCCATCGATTCCTCGCTTGGGACAACCGTGAATAACTCTTATAACATCGATTGATTCGTACTTTGTTCTAAAATAATTCTTTCGTGTCGAATTTTTTCAGTGTATGTTTTTTAGAGGTTTTATAAGAGTATCTTTCGATTTTTATCTTTTTCTAATTGATAGAAGTAGCTAATTCTTCTAAAACGAAATAGTCCAAGATTTAGAATAGGGTGTGGATGAGGAGAAGATTCCACACTCAGACTCTTTGTTGTAAAATAAATAAAATGAAATGAATACTCGAAAATTTTGATGATCAAAAACATTATCACCTTTGGACTATTTCATTTTAGAGAAATCAACCACTGGTATCAATCAGAAAAAGTTAACACCGAAAGATACTCCTATTAAACAACTAGAACATGCATCGGAAAAAAATTGTTTTAGAACATCTTTTTTTTTTTTTAATCTTCGCCTGTTCATCTGAAACATATCCTGAACAATAATGTATATTATTTACATTCATGAAAAAATATACTATTTTATAGAGAATTAAAAGTCTGAATCAGCGAATATTAAAAGGTCTATTATTAAAATACATAGACGTTCATTATTTGTAAAGCACTTGTTACGAATAAAAATCTTTAGAATGCTATTCTTCATCTTCAAGAACCAGAATTAATCTATGATTTTGAATGGTATCCATATATGGATTCAACACGAAGTGATACTTGTTTGTAAGATTTTCTCATTTTTTAACATATTAAAATAAGTTTTTCTGTTCTTCCTCTCTTCTATTTAGTATCTTTAGTAGTTGTCGTGATAATCCTGTACATTTATTTGATGCATATACTGGTCAAGTACGTGCATCGTACAGAGCTTTGAATCATTTGGTAACACAATAAATTAAAAAAAAAATAATATTAAGAAAATTCTTGGTTTTTTCTTTGTAAGGAAGAACTTGTTGCTGCACATTCATTAGGATTTGAATTACAATCATGTAGACTTTATTGTGGATATGATCGAGTTATTCGTGCATTTGATATTCAACGACCTGGTCTTTGTATTGGACAATGGAATACATTTGGTAATAGTTTTGATTAATATTTTATTTTGAAAAAAAAAAAAGACTATCTATTTTAGATCGTATGAATAATGTTTATCAATCTGGAATCATTTCCTGTTTATCATTTAATTCTCAAATACGCGGCATGTATGCTGCTGGATCATATGCTAAAACAAGTGAAATGAATTTCAAAAACATCAATAAAAGTGAAATGTTTTTTTTTTCTCTTTATTTTAGTTGGCATTTATGGAGATATGAATGGAGAATTAATTGCAGTTCTACATGGTCATATTGGTGGAATAACTCATATTCGATTTTCTTCAGATGGACATCGACTTTATAGTGGAGCTAGAAAAGTAATGAACATGAATTAGAACAAAAAAAAAATATGAAATTAAGATTTCTGTTCTAGGATGGAATGATTCTCTGTTGGGATATGCGAAATTTAGGAGAAGTTTTATGTACATATCAACGTCATGTTAATACAAATCAACGTATTTATTTTGATTTTGATCCGTAAGATAATTTATTTTTTTGTTTAAATTTTGAATATTTTGTTTCATCTAGTTCGTTTACAATGCTTGTTACTGGTAATTCAAATGGTCATGTATTAGGTTGGAATATCAATGATTCATCAGCTCCGACACTTGATTTTTTAGCTCATAATGATTGTACAAATGGTATTAGGTATAATAGATTCTTTGTATTTAATTGATAAAAATAAATTCTTCTTTTTTTGTTTTTGTTGTTATTTAGTATTCATCCAAAACAACCATTATTTGCTACATCATCAGGTCAACGACATTTTGCTGGCGATGTACAAGTTACTGTTAGTGAAGATGAAGATGAAGAAAATCTCTATGCTGAATTTAATTTAAAAAAAATTCCGAAAGAAAATTCTGTAAAAATTTGGTCACTTATTAAATAAAGACAGAATGCTTTTTTTTTTAATTTAAAAGAATATTGTATAACAAGGATTGTGGTTTTCACTATCTTTTATTTCACAACATGATAAACAAGTGCCATTTGCGTATTCATAGATGAAACCAGTACTGGTCGTAAAAAATCCAGACTGATTCCATCTGTGTGTGCATTGATTGAGATGACCGTCTGAGATTTTCTGCTGAATCAAAGTTTTGAAATCTGGCTTCACAATTTTCTTTTCTGTGCCTGAGATATCACCAGCAGGCCTCGAAATCGGACCACTTTTTGATGGTCCGGTTCAGTTCAGAATTGAACTATTAAAAGTATATTTCTTTAACAAAAAGTATTTCTCGTGGCACGACATTTGCGCGCGTGACATTTGCGCGCCGACACTTGCGCGCCGACATTTTCGCGCACGACACTTGCGCGCACGACACTTGCGCGCACGACACTTGCGCGCACGACACTTGCGCGCGTGACACTTGCGCGCACGACTCTTCCGCGCAGCGACACTTTCGCACAACGACATTTTCGCGCAGGACACTTACGCGCGACATTGGCGCTCAAAATGATTTGTTTCTGCGCTTGACTTCGGTCTGGGTTGGATATGACTACTAATGTGGCTTGGGAAATAAATGCTGGCTGTGCGTGTGGGTGTGAGGGTTAAGTATTACCCTAGTCTCAATTTTGATCATTCATTAAGAAATCCTGGAAGAATATTTCAGGATCGTGGACTTCAAGGATCTTGTCAGATTTTCTTCAAGATCCTGCCGCAATTCCTGATAATTCGTTTTTCCAGGGTTTCGCACGCGGTCAAGAAAAGTGAGCTCCAAATTGCCTAAAGTCTAAATTTGGAGGTTGTTTTCTTCTCAGTCCTTCTGTTATGATTCGTAGCACCACCTAGAACGCTAGCAGCATTTTCTGGGATACTACTAGCATTTTCTGGGATACTACTAGCATTTTCTGGGATACTACTAGCATTTCCTCGGATGCTAATAGCACCACCTGAGATGCTACAGTCATCACCTGTGATGCTGGTAGCCTTCCCTGGAATGTTAGTGGCATTCAGTGGGGTGCGAGAAGCGTTTCCAGGGATACGAGTAGAATTCTCTGGGTTGTTGGTAGCATTCCCTGGGATGCTGAAAGCATTCGTCTTGATGCTAGAAGCATTCGCCTTGATGCTAGTAGTATTCCCTGGGGTCCCAGTAGCATTCCCTGAGGTGCTATTAGTATTCCATGGGATGCTAATAGCATTCTCTGTGATGCTAGAAGCCTTCTCATTCATGCTAGAGGCATTCCCTACGATGCCAGAGGCATTCTCTATGATGTTAGAAGCATTTTCTGGGATGCTAGAGCCATTACCGGGGATCCTAGAGGTATCTACTTGGATGCCAGAGGTATCTTCTTGGATGCCAGAGGCATTACCTACGACGCTAGTAGCATTTTTGTGGCGAGCTCATAGCATCGCAGACAATGCCTGTAGCATCCCAGGCAAAGCCTCTAGCATCCCAGGTGGTGCACATAGCATCCGAGAGAATTTATATTAGCATCCTAGGCAATGTTAGTGGGATCCCAGGAAATGCCTCTGGCATCCAAGGTAATGCTACTAGTACTCTTGGTGATACTACAAATCATAACAGGAGGATTGAGAATAAAAGTGAGCTTCATATTTGGAGTTTACATGCGGAGCTCACTTTTCTTGACCTTCGCACGTTTAGGCAGGGTCCTGTTTAGGATCTACCTAGGTTCCTATCAGGGTATTTTTCTAAATCATGAATGCAGGATCCTACAAGGATTTAAGCTTAATCCTGCTTAGTATCCTTACGGGAATAATAGAGATGATTCTTTCAAGATTTCGTGCACCTCGGACGCAATCTGTTCAGAATTGTGATTGGATCCTGCTAGGAATACTACCAGGATCTTGAAATTCTGTGGCTATACGCTTCTTTCAGGGTTTAGTCGTTTTCTCAGGAAAAAAACACCGACTCCTTGAAGGATCCTGATTGAATTCGTTAAGGATCAGACACAGAAACATCAAAGATTTTCCCTAAGGTAGTGAAGATACATCAAGGATTGTCGCGAACTGCTGGTCTCCCATCGCAGTGACACCCACCTTCCGCCATCATCACACTCAAACCCAAACGCAGACTCATTTCATGAAAAGAAATAATTTTGCGCGCAAATTACACGCGCGTAAGTGTTATGCGCGCAAGTGTCGTGCGCGAAAATGTCGGCGCGCAAGTGTCGGCGCGCAAATGTCACGCGCGCAAATGTCGTGTAATCAGTATTTCTACCCAATGAAAATTCATAATTACTGCAGTTATTTATTAGAACATTGTAAAAAATTTATTATCATAGTGATCAAGAACTGAATAAGGTCGGACAGTTTTAATGCTTGAAAAAGCGTCATAACAGATGAATCGACTTATTGAATCGGAAGAGCAAGATAGATTCGGAGGTACTTTAATTTTTTGAAGATATCATTGATTAACGTACGTTTTCACGCGTAAAATACCTGCTGATCAATTGGAAAGAGTCAGATCGATTTATTATTTTTAGTTACATTGTTCCACTTCAGTAATACTCATACTATTTAATGCAGATGATAGTGTACTCGACATTTTATGTGAGTGAGAAATGTCATTGAATTGAACAAAGTGTTTGCATATTAAAGATACTTGATTGTTATCAGTTACGAGGTACAAAATCCATGAACAGAATAAAATTGATTATTTTTTCGAACAAAAATCAATTAAAATGGTGCTATTTAATTCTAATTTAAATCTGATTTCTTAGTTTTAAAGATAGATTTCAATTGAGTTTTGTATTCGATTTTATAGAACTCAATACTTTAATCATAAACATTATGTTTTTATTGAGTTTTTGACTGAATACAAGAAAAATATGCAGATCTTTCCGATCCTTATAGAACTGCTTCAGTCAGGTAAAACTTATTTCCTAATACTAAAAATCTTTCAAATCGAAATCGGTGACAAAGTTTTCTCATCCATACGTTATCTCTCAATGGTTCCAGTTACTTTTAACATGAATGAAAGTTTTATTTCATGTTTTAGAATTGAAAACATAGGTGCTCTGAAGCTACTTTGATTTTTTGAGATGTGCAACTTTACCTTGCAGCTGCTTGTGAGGCTTTAGACACAAAAATTGTAAGGTTATGTATTCTAAAGTTTTGATCTAACAGAAAATCTCAGATGGCTATTGCCATAAATGTGCAAGTGGCACTTGATTTCGATTGCATGAAATTAAAAATAGTGCAGTCGTTAGTTCATCTTTCGGTACTTCTTGGTTAATCACCTTGACAAATAAACTGAATGTCCTTTTTCATGTAATCGATAACATTTGCAACAGATTGTTTGTTTCCCACTAACATTACATTTATTACTAGTGTATAAAAAACCACATTTTCGGTTGATTATCTATCGAAGGAAAAAAAAATATGTAGAAGGCTCTTGCTCTGATTGTTCTTCTTACTGTTTGTTATGTATCAGCTAGTACACGTACATTTAATGTTCAATCAAGTCATATAAAACGTGCTCTATTACCATTGAAACAAGAAAATAATGGTATTGATTAGTGTCCAAAATGTGTTAATTCATTTAGTGATTTAATTGAAGCTATTCTTGATATTATTCTTCAATGTAATGTTATGAATACGTGTGGTGATTTATGTGATATTGTTACAGAAAAGTCAGAATCATGTTTTACTGTGATTTCTTTGTATAATTCGTTGTGATGTTTTTGGGATAGAAGAATTTGTTAAATTAATTGAAAAAGCTGATCTTAATCCAATTTATTATTGTTATCTTACTACCACATGCTCCTTTTTATAATACATTTACTATTGATTTTGTTTATGTATCTAATAATGGAACTGGTACTGATGAACTAATTACTACAATTAAAACAGTTGATGACGTTCCATTGTCTGCTAGTTTCTGACTTGAAGAATAAAAACCAGGTACTTATGGCGAACGTTTTCTTGAGAATGCTAGTCTTGATCCAGATTGTAATCCTGCCTGAGGTAAAAATTTATTTATTAGTTTAATAAAAAAAAACGTTTTTCTTTAAATTATAGAACACAATGAAAATTGGTTTCCTGGTATATATAATTTTACGGTTTTTATTTGTAATGGACAGTGTGATTCACATCATCCTCATACTCAACTTTATGATTCAGCTGTTGGTTCATTTCAAATTACTGAATAATAATAATAAATAGTTTGTTCATGTGTTTTTTTTTTGTTAAAAACAAACAATAAATTGTGTAGAGTTGACTCTTCTACGCTTTCTCGTTCGTTGTATGAATATATCTTATTTGATTATGATCAAACATATTTTAGTTTTATGTATTGAGATAATAAGTACTATAAGATTTGTTCTCTGGTGAATAATAAATAGAACATCTAGAGAATTTTTTATTATATTTATATGCATGATGTATTAATATATAAATTCAAATGATAGCAATAAGATGTCATCCATAGAGAACGTCTAGGAAAGGGAGTGTTAGCAAAAGCTGGATGTACATTTCCAAACAGGAATCAGTCGTATCTGAATACTTATTATAATATTTTCAAGTTAATAAAAGGTGTATCAGAAGATAAAGAAAAGTATATATGAGCAAATAGGCTCTTTCTAAAAATGTTTTGCAGACTAGACGTTCAGTGAGACGAAGTCGGTCAAAATCGAAGATTTCCTGACGTTGGGAAGTCAAAAAAAAGCAATTTTTACTGCGACGCTTTCTATGGATGGCTCATACGTAATTTTGTTTTTGTTCTCATTATAGTCTATATCTGACTTACTGATGCTACTATAAATATATCTGTAAAGATGGCAGTATCTACTTTGCACTTACTGATTTTTATCTATTTCAATATATATTTTTAGAAAAAATTCTCTAAACTTTCAAAGAAAATCGATCTGTTTTTTTTCTTGTAAAGTTTTATTCATTATATCTAGTTAGATATGTTTATTAATCTCGATCTTAATTGTGAAGTAACTTAGGGCAAACAGGTTGCATAAGAGTCTCAAACTAAAAATAAAAGTATTGTGTGAAAATTTGACCATTTGTGTTAGACTAGTTCTATATTTATGCCTAACTAATTTCAACAGGTTTTTTTCTTCTCACTACAAGAATATTTATTAGCAGTATTTCTCGAATATTAGTAGTCTTTAAAGTTAATAATTATAAAAAACACACACAAACACACAATGTATAAGACTCTTAGTGTTATTCTTCTTGTTGTTGTTGGTATTTCGAATGTTGCTTGTTCATTCAATACTCCCTCGAAAAATTTACAACATTTTCCATCTGATATTCGAGGCAACAATGTTGGTATTGATCTTTGTCCAACATGTATAAATGAAGCTGTAGAAGCAATTAATGTTATACTCAATGTAATTCTTGATGAAGGCATTATAGAAAGTTGTGAAAAATTATGTAGTATTGTTGCTAATAAAACAGGTGTACCATTTATTGGCACTGTATGTGATCTAGCATGTGATGCTGTTGGTATTGATGAATTTATTCATTTAATTATTGCAGTTGATATTGATCCGATTTGGTATTGTGAAATGGCTCGTTTGTGTCCAAGTAAGATTAAACAAAAAAAAAAATTTTTATCTATCAAAATATTTTTCTTTATAGTTAACGACCATGGTGATGCTAAATTTATAAAATTTGGTGTTTTACCAAATACAGGTCCACAAGGTACAACATTTATGATTGATTGTTCATTCAAATCTATGAATGGAACTGGTACAAGTATGCTACGTTTGGAAATTACTGATCCTCATAATGAAACAGAGAGTAATGATTATTTGATTGAATCTAAAAAACCTGGTATGTATACTGAAAAAATTGGTCTTAGAACTTTAACTGCTTTGAATTGTGATTCGACAAAAGGTAAATTTAATTCTAATTTGTCTGATAATAAATTCTTTTTTTTTTTTTACTTTTTTAATAGGACTTTGTGATGCGTTTCCAGTTGGTACCTATAATGTCACTGTACAATTGTGTAATGGAGAATGCGGTTCACATCATCCACATTCACAAACATATGATGTTGGAAAAGCTTCATTTACTGTTACGAAAAAGAAATAAAATTGTTTTTTTTTTATTGATTAATGAATTTCAATAGATCCATTAAAGTTTTACTGATATTTTAATTCAATTGATTTTATAGAATAAAATCTTTCTAGAATAAGTAAAAAAAAATCATATTATTAGTCGTTCGATAATAATTTAGATTTTGATATTATAAAGGATGGGAACATATAAGGGATCAAATCGGTCCACTCTTGCATTGTTAAAACTCATGTATATTTCGATGCAGAATATTACGCTAAGTCATTTGGTAATACTTTCAAATTGACTCAATAACACCTAGAATAATAATGACCCGAAATATTACCGTTAGCTTAGCACTATCTAAATAGTGAGATCTTTCGCTGATATCTTTGCACAGTAGTATCACTGTCATTTCGAGATGGTCTCATCGGATAGAGCATTGAATTCTACATAGATTCATTTAAGGACATGTCTATTGGAAAAAAAACCATTTCGGTATCTTCTATTTGTTCTTTTATTAGCGATCAGTAGTAGATTAGCTAAAAATCTATTCTGCTAATTGTGTTGTCGATCGATAAAGATCTACATCTTTTGGTTCATGTCAATCTTCATATACCAATCGATAGCACTTTTGAAATGCTACAGAACGGTATATTTTTCAAACTTTGAAACTATAGTCAGAAAAATACAATTTGAGCCAAAACTGATGATATCTTTGGAATCAATACCAAATTCTGACTCAAATTATGAGTGTTTCAATTTTTTTGCAAACTATTTTTATTCGCCAAAACAATTCACTCTAGGTCTCCTTCAGGGTCTGGTAAAAAAAAATGTTTTAACTGCAACTTTTTTTTTTTTATGAAAGTAGTTTCAACCGCTAGTTTTTCCAGATTTAAGGTCGGAATACTTGACTTGATAAACTCAAATAGTTTTTCTTTGAAATCTCAGAGAAACATCTGGGGACATTCCCTCATTAGAAGAAGTGCATCATAGGATATTTTTCGAAGAAAGTGTAAAGGCGAAGAGATATTTTAATTAATAATATACAACATGATTTTATTAAATATATTCCAAGTTTAGAAAGATCTTTTAATGTGTGACTTATGCAAATGCGCACTGCCTTAATTATGTCCAAGAACTACGGAAAAGGTTTAGATTTTTGTATAGAAAATCTAAAGAATTTCTTCAAAATATGTTTCAAAAAAAGAACTGAAGTGATTTCACGATATGTTTGCAATAAACTGTTCTTTCCTACTAACTGTTTCTCATGATTTTTTCTAATTCGGAACTGACACATTGCTACGATGATGGAATCAAAATATTGTCCATACTAATTTTTTTGAAGAAAAATATTTATTTCTACTCTTTCTAAAACAAAAAAGTATTGCATTAAAAAAATTTTTCGATAACAATGTTATTAGAAAATATAAGTATATTCACATATTTAATTAGAAATAAGAAGAAAAACAGGTCAATCAACAGTTTTATTTATTAGTCAAAAGTGGTCACATGCCAGACATTGAAGAAAAACCGATTTTCGATTTCGATCAAATATTCATATTAACTTTGATTTATCATGAATTATTATTGAGTTGGAATATTTGAAGTAGATGCTGATGTTGTGGGTGAGGGTAGAGTGATAGCTACAATCAGGTTGATAATACTATGAATAAGTGCAGTACTAAAAAGGACCAAGATAGTTATTTTTAGATTGTATACTATTGTACTGTCGCAATAATATGAATAGTGTATTGAACTACATCGATTTAAGTTAACTACTTTAAAGATAGATACGATGAGTCCTGATATACAAAAGGACGAACAAAAAATAAATAGTCGAATTAGAAAAGTCATCACATTCGGTGTTTTACATGCTACAATTAACATAATAATTCCTCCACCAATTAGAGAAAAACTTGCCACGAAACCGACATAATATGTCCAATTCGAATTAACAATAAGATCAATTTGGATACCAACACTTAATACACCCCAACACAAATAAAGAATACCCGAAATGACAAGAAATACTCGTAGGCTAGACGTAATCGGTGTTGATGTTAAATTATTCCTGGATTGTCGATAAAGAGATACGACAGTAACTCCTTGGGGTTGATTGATTGATTGTACGCCATTATGTGGTGCACCCGATGTTGGATAAGCAGATGAATGTTGAGGATATTGTGTATAAGGTGGTGATGCATTATTTGACCTTTCAAAAAACAACAACAAAATGAATAATTATCTTTTAACGAACAACAAACCAAAATTCTGACTAAAAGATATTACGTACGGATAAATATTTCCAGCTTCGTATGGTGGTTGATTCATAGGTGAATATTGATTACCGTAGACAGTTCCATAGTTATTATTACTTTGTTTGTTTGGATCGTACAGATTTGTTTTAATGTTTGACATAGTCTTAAGTATCGCGTTTCGTTTTTTAATTGTTTTCTCTTTCAGTATCTCTGCTACGCAGCGTTTATTTTCTATTTTTAATATTATTTTCTTCGTTATTACAGATAAAAAACAACATATGACGCATTACTTTTTTTATGTGACACAAGAAGATAATAATAACTATCAAAACAAGATTATATTTCTTTAATCTTTTCTCCATTGAAATAGATAACAATAATGATAACAACTCATGAATCAACTTTTGCAAACAATAAAATCGTTTCAGATAATAATAAATATAAATCTCAGAATATTGGTAATAAATCAAATTTTAAGCAAAAGTTTTTGATTAACCTACGAGATCTAAGTGTCCGCACAAATGTGGAGACATGCAGTGATCGAACGAAAAGTGCTAGAAGTCTAACTTTTTCATCACACCATTGAAAATGGTTTGTTACCAAAATAAATATTTTCACGCTTTTTCTTGGTTTAAGATGCATTATGTTGACTACAAGCGAAGAAAGAGATTTCAAACTTGGAAAAAGAAGGTTGTGAGATCTAGGCTTTCTGAAAATCGGCTTCCTATTTTTTTGCGTATTCAAGGCAGTCAGCAATCAGTTTTAAAAGTCAAATCAGTACATTTCACGATTTTTGATGAATGTTTTAACCCTTTACGCCCCACGGTGGTTCCAGAAAAGCCACCGATAGAATAACTATATAAACAGAGTACTAGCGTGTCTAGTGTGACAATTGTGTAGTCTGATTCATTGAATGTCTCCCTCTTTGTGTAGGATCATTTGATCGGTCGATTAATCCTGTGATGGACTGAGAGGATGGAACAACATATTAAGCGTTGATTTGTTTTTCTTTGACTACATTATTGAATGAGCAAAAGTAACATCTATCCCATGTTATTGGAATAATGGAAAGCGGAGGGAATAAGCCAATAAAAATTAATGTCGAAAGAATGTATGTATTTTTAGCACATTTTCTTAAATAGGCATCTACCTTGCTTTGAGCCGTTTTATAACTTCTGAAGGCATTTAATTCAAAATAAATACTATTCTAACTTCTCATGAGCTGAGGTTTATAATAGATATATTACCATTTCTCTTAATTACCCTAAAGATGCCTCATAATGGTTCCTTGATCAGTTATGTGCGTTAGTATGTCCAATTGGTCAGCTTATCACGATGCATTCGAAACATATTTAACTTCTTAGTAGACACTTTCATAAATTTGTATCACATAGAAATTCCAAAAGATCTTCATTTACTGTTAGTAGAGAACGATTTATTTTGAAAAATTCGGTTTTTTTCATTTTTTACAAAATTATCGATTTTGTTGGCCCAATATTTCACAGATGGAGCAATAAAAAAAATTATTCTTTTTACCAATCGATAGCTCATAAAGTTCACTACAAAAAATGTTCTTATCGTTTTCAAATTCCATGCTTCCTTTATTTTCTGCAATCATTCTATAAAATGACAATTCCAATTACCAATGGGGGAGGGGTAAAGGGTTAAACATTTGTCAGAACACAAATTTTTAAATTGATTCAAAAATATGTAACTTTTTGTATCATAGAAGAATATATATGAGACATTAGAAAAATACATTCTATTGAGCTCATAAACAACGAAATAAAGAATGGGTACAAAATAGCACTTGGCTTCAATTTCGATGTAATTAGAGATTTTAATAACTCAAATGGATTACAGACGTTTGACTTGAACTTTTGTTCAATTAAAACTAATATAGCTACTCAACATTTATATGCCATTTAAAAGCATTAAAAGAAACATATAGTCCAGATTTGACAGAACTCCCAATTTTATCTTGGTAACAAGCCATTTTAATAGTTTTTAAAAAAATAAAATTTAATTTCTTGAAGCATACCTCCAATTCTATTCTAAATATGCAATTTAAAGTGCATATTTTGCTCTATCTGCGAATGAAAAAGTTAGGCTTCTAGAATTTTCCATTCAAATACAACAGGCCTCAACATTTGTACTGATAATTGTGCATCCTAGGTTATAGGGAATTATCAATCCGAATATATTCGATAAAGCAACAAATTATAGATTTAAAATTATTTCATAATCATATTCAAATATGACAAAGAAACATTTACAGTAAAATCACTCTAATATGAGCACCATTAGGACTGGCCAAAAATGATCAGTTTACAAAGATGAATATCATTGAGAGGTTTACAATTGGTTTTTTTTCAAATGATAAGTATTTATTTACAATCACTTTTCGACTGCATCAAGTGATCTTTTTCTTCTTTTCATCTATCTATTAATTCAAATAATCATCTATTTTTCTGAAGTAACAACTTTTTTACAACATTAATCTAATCTTTTTTAAAATTACTATGAAATATGCGTTGAAAAAATTATGGATCTTCTCTTTTCTCATACGCACACCTAGTTTTTGTACACCCTGTATGTCACATGATTGTTTATCATAACGCACTGCACATAACATCATTTTTTTCTCGTTCTGCATACGAGTGACAGAACATACGTTACTCACATTATGAAGATTGTTATTACTCATAAGACTATAAATATGTGCTCACTGCTGAGAATGAAGAGATACTCACATTGATAGGTTTTTACTGTATTTGTTTTTTTCAAAAGAACATCAACATGATGTGAATCTTACTGTAGTACTGATTCAAGTCTTAGAAAAGTAGATTATAATTCATTGTATGTTCAAAATTATTTGTATTCTTGTTACAATTAGTTTTTCAATCTTTTTCTTTATCATAGATTTCTTTGGACATAAAATAAACAAGATTTTATCATCAATGAAGTCTTTTAATACAAAACTGAATTAAATTCTCTTTCTAATAAATATCTTTTTTGTTGTTCATAATATTCTTTCGAATTTTTGAAAAGAAAACGAAAATTTTAGCATTATTATTTTACTGAGCAAAATATTAAATGACAATTATTTCTAATTTTATGCACTAAAGTAAAGCAACATTCAATATTCGCAATGTCATATAGTTCAATTGTTGAAGTAAAACATTGTCTAACTTGTATTGATGAAGATTTTGTTCAATCTATGAAAGATTTCTAAAAGAAAAATAAAATCTTTAACATTGAATACGTTCAATATACTAACTATGAATTTTGTTAAAAAACTTCGATGTTTCTTGTCATCGGAAATTGAAATATTTGAAGATCAATAGCACGACTTATTTTCTTCATTATCGAAGTTCAAGAAAACTCATGATAATTAAAATTTAATAATTTTTCATTAGCTGACAAGAGAATCTATTTGGACAGACATAGATAATAGAAAGATTATTGATGTTTTTGTTCACAGTTGCTCATTATTTTGTATATTGTATTCATAGTAGTATGTTCATTCAGATTGAAACTATTAACATATATCCATTAAAAAAGAATTAGACTTACGTATTTGCATAATAAAGATTTAGGTTAGAGTAACAAATTCTGAGTCCCTAAAACTAAGATAATAATAATAATAATATTTGAATTATTCACCAAAATAGATTTCAAATCAGTATGAAATAAGTCATAGAATATTGACGTTTCAACCGCATATAAATGCGAGTCATATTTTTTATTGTATTTAATCAAATACATACATGGTAACATTTACACAATTAATACGTTGTATTATGTATCATTCAATGTGTCATTTGGTACAAATTTCATATTGATATCAGTCGTATTGAATATGAAGAATGACTAAAATTGAATAATTAAAATTGATTTGAATGAAATTAATCATAATAATAATAATATATTATGACAAAAGATATTTTGTGGTTTTAATTACAATGAGACATGAACAACTGAAATATAGATTATGTGAACATTTTTATATAATGAATAAATAACTTTGTCAAAGAAGATTATATAGGTAGGTATTAGTTCGAATGTATAGTTTTTGCAGTTTTAATTAATAGTTCAATAAGTATTTCAGCATGGTTAATCATTTTTTCATTGTTAGTGACACATGCATTTTGAAAGCATATCTCTAAAAGTTCCATAAATGTGAATTGATTATCATTTGGAAGTAGATTTATTAATGATGGCAATTGTTGTTTGAGGTAATCATTCAAGATTGAATCAGAAATGAATGTATTTTCCATAAAATCATTTGTTTGTTGTTCATCTTCCGAAATAACAGAATAATCGGCAAGAAGTTGAGAAGCAAATAACCATGGAAAACTTAACATAGATTTATCTTTGTCATTTGTATCTGTATATGCTACATAATAACAAGCAGCTGCTTTAGCTTTAGCTTGATGAAGTGAAACAAGATCATCATGAAAGTTCTTTTGAATATTTTGAAAAACAGCTCTTAATAATTCTTGTGCTGTTTGTTGAATATCACTTCGTTCATTGGCTTTCATGTTATGTGAATCAATACAACAAAAAAGATCAATTTCATTTGAAAATCCATATGATCCAATAATTTCCAACATTTCATATTCATATTGTTTATAAAGATTTCGAGCAGAACCAATATATTCTTCATAACCATTGTGAAGAAGACTTTTATCAAGAAAAATTTCGTTGTTATTATTAAGAAATAAATTTTTAAAAGTATCAGATAAACGACGAGCGCTTCGAAACAGTTTTCCTATCAGACAAAAAAAAGATGAATTGTAAATCTGTTTTGATTTATGTGTTAGAGAATTGTAATGTAAATGACTTACCAAGTATTTTTTCCGATTGATACTCTTTATAACCAGATGCTTGCATAAAATCTGGACGAGTTTTATCAGCTGTTAAAATTATTTGTTTAATTTGTTCTGATGTATAAGGATGTTGACTTGATTTGACACTATCTAGTTCTTGACTTATTCCAGCAGCTAAATTAATCGCTTTTTCATGGTCGATACCAAACTTATCGGCAAGTACGAGATGAATATTACTTAATCGACCTAGATTGTCTTGTTCACATATATCTGATATAACTTTTAATCTATCATTACGTGTTACTACCCGATTGAGAGGCTTTGGACTTGGTCCAGAATCATAATCATATGGAATTGGATTGGGTGAAGTAGGTACGAGTTCAGAATTCCAAATGACACTATATTCATCGCCATCAAGATCTGATCCAGATATTTCATTTGCATGTGGTCTAGAACCTTGCTGAGGAAAGACAAGAACATCATAGAGATGGTGAAGATAACTATTGTTGACAGCTTCTAGAACACGTAAATCTCCTGGATGATGACAAGGATTTTTGGTAATAGCAATAGGCCCTTCCAAAACAGTTTTACTTCCATATTCATTGGTAATTTGAACGAAAACTTGTCCTTCTTTGAGTACTTTATATTCATCGACTGTTCCAAACATATAACGTGCTTTCGAAACACGTATATGAGCTCTTGTTATTATTTGACAAAGATTATTTGTGACAGTTGTAAGCAGAAGACGATGAAAAAATGGTTCTTTTGATAAATGTGAATAAAAAGAAATTTTCGACCATGGTAAAACATGGAGAATCTTTTCACGAAGAACATACAAAGCTGATTGATTCGAAACAAAAGAAGCCATTAGCCATAAGATATTTCGAAGTTGAACGACAAGAATATGTGCATTAGATATACCACGATATGAAAGTAAGTTAATCACTTCACGATTCAAACATAAATGACCTGAATATATCAAATTATCAAAGTGTATCAAAGACATAAATTGATAATTAAATATATATATTAACTTACGTCTAAGTGAACGTTTGCATAATTCAAGCATTTGATGTTCACATTCAAATTTATTCATACTTGGTCGAATTAATAATTGTTTTTCTTTTCCATCAAGCAGTGGATTAACAGCAATAGTACCTTTACAACCTCCATAGCGAATTTGAAGAACACTGGAAATATAATCGCCATCATTAACATTTTTACCAATTGATTCATGGATCTACAAATAAAAATCAAAGATATGGTTAGATGAATTAATAATCTTGATTACAAGATAAAAAGACATATCACACACCAATAGATTTAGTTCTGATGAAATCTGTCCAACACCATCAGTAAAATTATATTTTCCATCTGTTGTCTTCAAGTCAGGAATCAAGCCAACGAGTTTTTTATCAATCTTTGAAGGATAAATGATGATTTGTTTTTTTTTTTATTAAAAGATATTCATGTACTCTTACTTCAATAGTAGCTTCTGTACTAGAGAATGGTTGTGTTCGTCGAGCAGTGTTTTTCGCTGGTAATTTTTCCCTATCAAAATTGCCCATCCAAGCTTCAAGTGCTTCGCGAGTCATATTACCTTCATGTTCGCAATAAAAATAAAATTGTTTTTGACGTATTTGAGATTGAGCATGATGTAAATAAATATAATGACGATCGGCAAACCAGAATCCATTTTGAAGATAATGTTGTAAGAAAGGAACAAGTTCTTTTGATAAAGATGCAGATCCTGTATCATCACGAAATTCTACAAAACCCATTGATTGAGTTACATTAGAGATATATCGAAAAACTCGATTTGATCGCATAAACTTAAATGGTTTAATAATTAGACGTGTTGGTGTAAAACAAAACCATGGAATACGAACATATTTAGTCCAAACCATATCCATCTGATAAAAAGTACTCTGAAGATAAGAATCATAATAATTATTTCGAATAGTAGGCAATTCATGTAGAAGTTGAAGAAAATAATTTTCTGAAGACAATGTCAATCGTCGCAGTCGTTCGAATATATAATAAACAAAATCATCATCATTATTATTTCCATTTAATAAATAAAACATATTATTATTCAAGATATCATCATTGACTATTTGATCATATATTTGACATCCCACACTAGTGAGCATGTGGCAGGCATATTGACCAATGAAAGTATTTGCAGGTATCAATAAATTATTTCTATAAATAAAGTTTTCATATAAAAATTCAATTGATCCAAAATGTATTGGAATGGAATGATAACTAAAGAATTGAATAAAATAGCATAAAATTTGATAGATCGAATTAGTATTTTTTTGTTCATTATGAATTGAGAAATGCATAGCTGAAAAACATGATTGCCATGGTTGTTCGTCTCGTGTGTTTTGCAAACAAAATTGACGTTCGTAACCTGTAAAGAAAAAAAAAGACTGAAAAGTGAAGAATCGCAATAAATGAGTACGTTGCCTATGCTTTCATACTGGAGAAAAAAAAAACAACAAACATGCGTGTTTTTTTTTCTTCGTAAAAAGTGACTGTTTTACAGGAGAAATAAGACAGGAATAATTTTTTTTTCTATTACAGATAACATACCAAATTGTCGATTTTTGGATGTATATTCTTCGAGATTCCCTCGCAGACAAACATGCATTATGAAGTCATGACTAGATCTTGCACTGATGATAACACCACGATGAATGTCGATGTGATCGCGTTTTAACTGAAATTTAATAAATTCTGTATTAATGGATAGAAACGAATTATATTTTGCAAAATATAGATTCCATATTGAATTTGGTCCTTTTGTAAAACAAAATTTTGATGCTGCACATTTAAATTGGCTAGATGAAATAAGAGAACCAAAAGCCAAAGTAACATTTTGATCTTGTTGTAATAGAATCTGATCATAGTTTTTATCATTTCTGAATGTCTTTAATCTTTCAGAAGGATTTAAAAGACACCAGACAGATGAAAGTTGATTGATATTGATTTTCTTTGTTGTATAATAGATTTCCTTGAAAATTGTGAGACCAAAGCCATTAATTTCATTTTGATTTGTTGATGCATTTGTATTTTCAGAGGAATTACAATTCAACGAATGTTTACAAAAGACAACTTCTGTATTTGATGATACGCATAGAATATTTCCGTGTTCTATATAAATAGATGATAATAAAATTGAGAGTATATTCGAGACTCCTTACCGAGTTCCATATTACTGATAAATAATCGTTATAAAATTTGTTTTTAATAACAGTTGGGAAGTATAGTACAAGAGAGTTTCTTAGTGGATTTAAATCAATCAGTGAAATCCAACACATTACTGTAAATCGTACCATTTTATAGTATTAAAATACCCACTGAATTCTTTCGAATTCTATTGGTACAGCGAATAGTCACCTCATCATACTGCTGGTATCTTTTTCGCATTTATTTCTCATTGGTTGGTTGCAGCAGTTCAATTGGCTTTTTTCCCATTTCCAACTGCATTCGTCTGTAATTTCGCAAAAAACAAACGTTTAAGAGTGACTCTTTTTTTATTTTTCTGACCAATAGAAGAGAGACACATATGAAAATGCATTATGAATCATAGAAACAGATCATCAAACATGTTTGATGAATTTGTAACAAAAAAAAATTTCAATTCTTATGTCTTCGTTTCATTTACTACCCAATGAAACTTTTCATAAATCTATTATGGTGATCTATGTCATCAAATGTTTTCAGAATAGTTTGATTAGACTTGTGGAAAATATTTTTGTAGTTAAGTCTTATGATTGACAATAAAGATAATGTTTTTAAGAATGACGTAGTTATCTACATTCCATGTGAGTTAGTGAATAAATTTCATTTGAAAATAATTTAATCTTACCGTACGAATGTAGAATGCGAAGATGAAGAAGAAGTTTCGTGACACATATTTATTCTTCTTATCTACATTGCAACTATTGTACAATAAATAAGAATAGTAATGTGTTAGTATTTAATATCTTAATTCACAGAAAAGAAAAAACATTTTGTTTTTTCAAAGAATTTATAGATATAATGAAATAATAATGTTTAAAGAGACCAAGCAATTTGCATATTTGATCAATAATAAGATTTTATTATGTTTTATTCAGAATTAATCATTCATAAGAAGAAAATATTTGTTCATTCTTAAATATTCGATCAAGAAATCAAAATCACTAAAAATTGCTTATCGCTCTACATTCAAACTACTGTTCAAAAAGCATTCACACTAAAAGATATGTTTGTTTATTTTCAATCCTTTTTTTCAATATCGATCAAAGTTGAAAGTATTTCGTTAGAAATTAATCGTTAATCAAAGTTTATTCATAAGTCGACAATATTCGTATGTATAGGTTAGTATTTCTGTATCTAGTTTTCACTATATTTTTTTAAAAGTGGCTTTTCTAAAGTGTATATTGTCATTAATACAATCAGATCAATTTAAATTTATTTGTTATGATAAGAAGGTAACGCAATCAAATATATGAAGATCATAGTTATTGTGAATAGTTGGTTATACTATAAATAGAAAAGCAAAAAATAAAGACTTTTCTTATGTTGTAACACAAACAGGACTGTTATTAATATAATTATGTGAAAATCAGATTATTAATGCCACACAAAATTGATTAATCGTCGAAAAAATAATTTTACTGAAATATTGAATTTTCTTATAATATCGATAAGTGAATTGACCTCAAACGAAAAAAAAAATGCGCGATTATGCATATATTTGTCAATTGATTTGTTATACGTAATTTTATTTGGATAGTTGATTTCAAATGTGTGTTTAAAAAGAACGAATCGGAAAAAAAATTGAATACTGGCAAGGCGAGGGGAAGCGAGGTGGCAGTTAGCGAATCGTCGGCATGGCGAGGCGGTGGCGAAGCGCTTTTTCTGACTGATTCGCGGATCCCTATTCTCTATACGTATGTTAACACTGTGGGATCTTATCGATCACAAACAACCTGGTTTGTTTCTCTCTAAACGAATGCTTTTTGTACTGCTTGCTGATGTTAACAGGTGTTTCGTTAATATTAAAAATAATATTCAAAGCTTTTGCTTTTTGTTATGGAGACATAAGGACGTAGCGAAGAAAAACATAGTGAGAATGGCATGCAAGAGAAACTTTTCAAAAAGTTGTTCGAATGCCTATAAAATTTTTTCACATAAAACAACTAATAGTAAAATATACATGTAAGAATATGCCGAAATATGAAAATGTTCGAAAAGAGAACGATAATATCTGCTCATCGCCGTATTTCTGTGCTCAAATATTTTTCAAACCTTGATACTTATTTCAATATTATATAATAGAAACTTCCTCAGTCATACTGACAATATAATTATGTACTTTGTATTACTTGAAATAAAGAAATATTTGTTCTTCAAGCAGAGAATTCATCTAAAAAAGGTCAAAATAAAACTTCGAGATACTCTGATCGAATAAGTTGAGAGATGAACATTCTACACTTTCATTGAGAATTCGCTGTTGATTGCTTTAATCTAAAAGAATTGTAGTCCATAATAACGCCATTACTCGCAACTTTTCTGAGTCAACAAAAATGGAGAATCTAAGGCAACGTGTATATAGAATTAATCACATCTGAACCCTGTTCTGCTTAAGTCAAGTATATTAGTCATATGAACTGATGTTGCCATTAAATTAGATTTCGACGAGAACAATTTATTTTATTTAACTTAACATTTAGCCCGTGACATCTAACTATTTTCTGCCGTTTTAAATCGATCAAAACAACCAATACTAATAAAAGAAGCTTCATTAACAAAATACTATTTGACACATAACATGCCTCGTTTATTCTAATAACCGACTGATATCCTTTTTGACTTTATTTTACACTATTGACCTTTAATTTTTAATGGATATTTATGTGAATATGGTGATGCCTTTCGAGAATTATCTATAGGACGTTCGCTTCTTCGACACACACTCACTTTATCTCTATTACAAACTTATTTTCGGTTCTCTCTCTGTTTTTTTTCTTTCTTTCTCCCTCGTTTCAATTCAATGTAGTTTTCGATCCTTTAAATACCCTAGAATCATTGTGACGATTCAATGAATGTAGATAAGAGAACAATAGAATAAACGACTTCTATGTCGTGCAGATGATAAATATGTTAGCCGAATGTTATCGACAGCATCGTCATTTCAATCGTGGTTAAAATCATGGACGACCACAACAGCATTCGTAAACACGAGGGTAAGCAAACAAAGAAATTTTTATTTTAGTTAAAACGCTTTGTTTCTCCATCCATAAATAGCGTTTTATATCAAACAAAGAAATCAATATTCCAAAAAAGAATATGAAGCATGGTTGAAAGAAGATGGAAAAATGCAAGTAAGTAGAAATTTTTTTTCTTTAAATTAATCAACTATCTGTCCTATCATTAGGATTATAGAGAATATCAAAAATTGAGTGTGGGTGTAGATTTTAGCCCAACACCTGCACTCCAAACACAAATACATAATAAGTACGGCTCCTGAATATTGTTTAAGTTAAATTCCAAAGGCACTAGAATTTTCTTAAATCATACATCTAGTTATTCTTCGCAGCTGCATTTCGTCACCTCCCCTTCTAATTCTGGCATAATGCCTAGATGAGAAGACTGCAAGTAGCTCCGGTTTGAAAATCTCGAACTAATGTCAAGGTTTATATGTATGATGGAGCTATGTTGTGTTCATTTTTTATTAGATTTTGTTTTATCGCGTTCTGAATTGTGTATATAATAGTATCTTTTTTTCGTTTTAGACCTAATCAAATGGACAATTTCCAGGCTTTTTGTTGGGAAACATTGGCCCCATGGTCTACCAACGATGAAAGATATCGATGATGGTTTTGTACCAAAATCGGTGCGATTCCATTTTTATCACCTGGTTCAAGTACTGAACCGAATCCGAATTTTTTTTCCAACGTATGTTCGCATGTATAATGAACCCTCGGTTTATTGACTTTGCAGGAAGTAAGGCTATGCAATTTTTTTCCGTTTCTTGATCAATACAGACTTAATTTTCATTGAATTTACTCAATGGTCTTATTCATATACAGGTTGGTTTGTGGAATCCATATCACTATCGATCATCTGTTGTCAAGTCGGCTTCAATTTTCGCACCAAATCCATTGGTAAACGAAGCCATTAGTTCATGAACTCATTTTCATGGATGGACTCGCTATCCTCCAGTGTCTCCATATGCCTACGGCAGTTGTCGTTCCTTTTCCCCTCGCATCAATGAACAAGACAAGAACTAAGAGCGGAAAAAACATGCTTTTCATTCATGTTTAGTTTTACGAAATGTTTTGTTGATAATTAATCGTTTTTTTATTGTACCCAATAAGCTCGTAAACAGATGAAATAGCGTTTCAAGCATTTATAATTGTTAAATCTAACGAAAGAAGGCGTTAAACTATCTCTTTTGATGTTAACTAATGATTTTTCTATGTAAGAAACCGTTTCTATTTTTTAGCGTAAATTTTAATTGAAAATAACAGTTTTTTGGAGAAAGTTTGAAGAAATTTAACGGTTATGGATGAAAAAATTCATTATTATGATGGGATAGATTATGGACTTGGAACTTGTTTCTTTCAGACATTGTAGATTGCAACATATAGTGGAAATTATTTTTTCTGAGTATATGTTGGATTTTTCCCTACCAGTTAGTATCATTACAGTGGCACAGAGTCAAAACTGATCATGAAAGTTGGTTATTCAATTACATAGAGGTGCAAAAAAACAATAATGTATTTAGATATTTTACTTCGTTTAAGGCATCAATTCCCGAACAAGTGTTTTCATTATTTGAAGTGGTGATATGTGTGTAAAAAAACAACTCGATACTCACATTAATTTACAGAATCATCTAAAAATTAGTTGAAAAAGAATTGAAAATCTGAAAAGTTATGCTCAAAGGCGTTGAGTCTCTCATCTCTGTTTCTATAACTTTTGCCTCTTTGAGAAACATTAAATCAATCTCGATATTTTTGTTGAAAAGACAAAATTTATCAAAATCTAATGTGTTATGCTTCAAAAGCGATCCTAACTATCTTGTTTATTTGTTTTGCCGAAAGGAATCGAATAGAACTTGATTAAGGGAAAGAGATGTCACGCTGAATAATGTCTATGCAAGACAAGTTTAATCCTTACAATTACTCTTCTTATATGGTATTTTTTTCAGGTCATAT